CACAGGTGACAGAGTGGGGGGTGGGGCGAGACCAACTCAGCTTGTTTTGCCCCCCACCCTGCTCCCAGGAGGCAGCAGCAATGGAGCTGACGAAATGGGGGGGGTGGTGAGGCCAGCTGGCCTTGCCCTCCCTGCCCTGCTCCCTGCAGGTGGTGATGGAGTGGGGTGGGGGAGACGGCTGGGGCCACTGGAGCTGGCCTGGCCCCTGCTCCCTTGCTCCTTGGAGGTTGTGGTAGCGCAAGTGGGGAGTGGGGTCAGGAGTCTGCAGGGGGGTGAAGCCACCTGCGCTAGCCTCAGCCTGCCCTTCCCACCTTCCGTCATTGCTGCCTGCAGGGCTGATGCAGCGGTGGTAGGGGAGGAGTGGGAGCGTACTGCGGTGTGTGGGGGAAAGAACTGACCCGGGCCAACACAGTAGCAGTTGGGGGCAGGGGAGGAGTGGGCCCTGGCCTGACGTGGGGGGGTGGGGAGGAGCAGCAGGCCTCCTCCCCCCTTCAGGCCCAGGCCCATTCCTCTCCCCCTCCCCCATGTTGGCCCTGAGCCTGCTCTTCCCGTCCCCCCCGCCGCCGCGTTGACCTGGGCCTGCTGCTCCCCTTCCACCTCCCACAACTGTGACAGGCCAGCTTCTCCCCTCCCTTGGGCCTGGTCCTCCCCCACACACCCTGCATCAGGCCTGGGCCCACTCCTCCCCACTCCTCCCCTCCCCCCGCCACTGCAGTGGGGAGTGGGCCTGGACCCCAAGCAGCAGGAGGGAAGGGTGGGGGCACAGGGCTCTGCCCCTGCTTGCTCCCTGCCCCCCATCATTCTTGACAGGCAGTTGGCTAGTGTGCCATAAATCTAATGTCTGTATTTAATCCCTTTTTTTCTTTGTATCCAGTAGATTTATGAAGTGAAGTTCGTAGGCTCATCTATGAAAGGTGTTTTGTAAATTCCCTTTGAGGGTTAGAATGAGAGACTGGAGAGAGTGGTTGTCTTGTGAGAAGTGTTCACCCACAGGTAACTAGGTATTTTTAAGTATTTTTGTCTTAGATTTTTGGCGTGGATTCATTCTGGTACATGGTTGTTGTTTGGTTTCTCCTACATATTTTCCATCAGGGCCTTCAGTGCACTGGATGAGATGTATACCATTTCTGGAGGTGCAAGTGTAAGATCCAGGAATGTTGATAGTTCTGTTGTGGGATGTGCTTGTTGTGGGAGTGTTGGAGATGTGTTGGCAGGTTTTACATTTCTTGTCCTGGAATAGTCTGGACCCATTTAGTGTGCTTTGGGCCATAGGAAGTTTGCTTTTGGTCATGAGGCTGGTGAGGTTTGGTGCTTGTTTAAAGGCTAGGATGGGTGGTTCTGGGAAGATCCCATTAAGAATTGCATCTTTCAGTATGGGTTGCAGTTGTTTGAGGATTTTCCGTGTAGGTTCCAGGGAATGATGATGTGTCATAACTAACAGTGTGCAATTTGTGGGGATTTTCTTTTTGTACTGCAGCAAATCTTCATGTGGTGTCCAAGTGTCTCTTTCAGAAGTATGTTCTATCTCTCTGGAGGAGTGTCCTTGTTGGGTGAAAGCTCTTTTATGATTTGTGAGGTGACAATCCCACACCATACTGATGAACAAATTAAGGGGCTGTGACTTGGATGACTACACAGTCCGGTGGGTGGCGAATTGGCTGGAGGGTCACACCCAGAGAGTTGTAGTGGATGGGTCAGTATCGACCTGGAAGGGTGTGGGCAGTGGAGTCCCGCAGGGCTCGGTCCTAGGACCGATACTCTTCAATGTCTTCATCAGTGACTTGGACGAGGGAGTGAAGTGTACTCTGTCCAAGTTTGTGGATGACACAAAAATGTGGGGAGAAGTAGACACGCCGGAGGGCAGGGAACAACTACAAGTAGACCTGGACAGGTTGGACAAATGGGCAGAAAACAACACAATGCAATTCAACAAGGAGAAATGCAAAGTCCTGCACCTAGGAGGAAAAATGTCCAGCATACCTACTACCTAGGAAATGACCTCGTTGGTGGAACGGAAGCGGAAAGGGATCTTGTAGTCCTAGTGGACTCCAAGATGAACATGAGTTGGCAGTGTGACGAAGCCATCAGAAAAGCTAATGGCACTTTATCGTGCATCAGCAGATGCATGACGAACAGATCCAAGGAGGTGATACTTCCCCTCTATCGGGCGCTGGTCAGACCGCAGTTGGAATACTGCATGCA